TCCGGAACACGTGTCCCACGTGTGAACACGTGACGATCTCAAGAGACCCGCCACACATCCAGACCCGGAAACTCAACTCCAGGTTCTCTCCGCCCCAGATCTCCATTCCCTCGTCATATTTGCCCAATAACTCAAAGTATTGCTTATCCATTGCAAACAAACCACCGGCCATTGTGGGTGATCTATGTATTTATAAATAGTGAGTAAAATATTGAGGTAATCCTGTAATCCAATGACATATAGTCTACCGAATCGGTTGTGTGCGGTCTTCGGCTCTTCGTTTCATTTCTCGCTTAGGAATGCGAAACCTGTTTACAAATTATATTAATATGTATTAGAAATTAATATTTCATAAAATCTGTATACTAAAAGCAATATAAGCAAGCATAATATAAGTAAGGTATAAGCAAACCAAGTTAATACCATCGAAAATTAAGTTTCCAACTAAATCCACCCCAAGTCATATCCGACGCCGGCGTGTATTCAAAGGTTTCATCATTTATAACATCGATTATAGGACAGGCTATTCTAGTTCTGTATACAATAAGTTACAAAACAATTTTTAAAATTTCATATAAGATTAAAATATTTATTTTAAGATAGTTTCTCATCTAGTTCAGATTTAGTTATTAGAGTTGGACTTCAGTTACAAAAGTAAACTCAATTGAAAGCAGACATACCTGTCCTCAACAATTCTGGAGAGAAGTGGTTCGAGCCATCCCTTCGTACACTCGCAGTGAGCGTCTAAGAAAGTAATGACTTGTCCTTTGGCTTCCTTAGCGCCTATAAGTCGGGCCCGTATTAGACCCGACCGTTTGCCCGTCCGGAGAACTATCACCCGAACCGGTAATTTCGATACATATTCTTCTAATTGTTTGCCTAAAAAATCTATTAAAAAAAATTATTAAATAAATTAAATTTAAAAAATATTTCTTAAGAGTATTAAAAGTGATGTCTTAATACCTCTTTCACTCGCGTCGTCTACTAAAATGATTTCTTTGAGGAGGGATTTCGGAGATCTTTGTATTATACTGTGAACTATAATAAATGTATGATAAGCCGGTTAAATTAACTAAAAAATACAAAAGTAAATACGTGTGCGCAACAATGTACTCCAAGCCTCGTTGTGAAACACTATTATCACTGAAGTGGTTGGAAGTAATTTTGGATAAGACTTATGTTTGCAACTATATTACCATAAAATAAATATTCACACAATAAATAAGTTTCACAAATATTACAACTATAAACACAAACCCCTCTAATCTGACGTCTGGAATGGATCTGTTGAATGCAATCCTATCGCTGGCCAATAGATTGAATTTATTGACTTCAAACAACTCATTCTTTAGGTCCAACTCTTCGGGTCCAATATTGACTCCCTTTCCAAACTCGCCCAACCATTTCACTGGATTTGTTTTATTTGTTTCTATTGTTTAATTTATATTCTATTATTTGTATCCCTTTTTAAATGAATATCCTTTAAATAAAATGTCTAAATTCTTGGCTTGGTAAAATAAATAATTCAAACAATATTTACCGACAGGCGCCCACGTGCTAAGTTCCTCGGGTTTATAAGTGACGGAAAACATGGATTTTAATGTATTAAAGTCGTGAACCTCTGAATTAATTAGATTACTTTGCAAACGTTCATGATGTTCATGATGTTGACGATTTGTTTCAGTTTTAGTCCTTAAAAGTAATGGATTTCTACAACTAATGTTATTATTGAGCAAACAGTCCATATAATAGAGAATAACACAAACGCAAAGAATACACCAAAGAAGCGAAGTTACGATTATTACACGATAGGTATGCCATCGGAGTGTTACCGCTTTCATCTCATTAAGTCAATTAGTTTTAATCCGATTTTATTTTACACGTATTCACAAGTCATTGAATGCCGTTTTCAATGCAAATTATTTTCAAATTAATTGCTTTTATAACGCATATTAAATTTTAATTTTCCATAATTTTTTTATTAAATGCTCTCCATTTGTAATCTATACGTAAAAATTATTTAAAATTTAATTAATATAACAAAAAAATATTAAA